TTCAGAATGGTTTATATGGCTGGAAAGATAAGAAATAGGCCTACAACTTTCATGGAAAAGACCCAAATTTGTCGTTTTTAAATTCAAAGTTTGGTCACAAAAGAGAAGTCAGAATCTGTCCTGCAATCCAACTCAAATTCTACTTAGAGTTTTACCGATAATTGGAGTTCTAGAAGGTCAAATGATGTGAAATTTAATGGGTGGAAAGAAAAGATAATTTCCAACAACTTTCATGAAAAAGACCTGCTCAAATTCTGATGGTAAAAATAACATTTCATCCAAACAAGAGTTTGAGGGCTATCCACCACGTCCACCAGCAACACTGCTCAATAGTTTAGGCATATCTCGAGCCGTAGTGCTGCGAATGCTTTGAAATTTGGTGGATGGAAGAAAAAGATAATTTCTAATAACTTTCATGAAGAACACTTTGTCAAATTCTAATTGCATCAATATCAATTCATCCAGCCAAAGTACTTGAGTGTTATTATCCACCAAGTTCACTAAATCAATTATTGGCCACTACATCAACTATCAATTACCAAATGAATAGTTTCTAATTTTAGCCTATAAAAGGAGGCATTTATCATTCATTTAGGTATCTTGTTTTTCATATAAAGATCATGTTCTTGCTCTCTCTCTTTATATTTTGTAATGCTTAAGTTTATTGTTGTTGTTCTTATTATTATTATTATTGTTATTATTTATAATTTATATAGTTAACTTTCTTGTGGTTAGACCGCGGTCTTGCCGAGTTATTTATTACTTTGACACTCCTGCACTTGGGATAAAATATTAACTCTTTGATCGTGTCATTTTTCTAAAGAAGAAGATGAATAGTCAACCTAAAAATAACATTGTTTTGGTTAAATCTAGTCCTTTGATTTTTTAGTTCTCTCCATTTCATCTTTGATTGGCTTCAAACTTTCAATTTTGTTTGATTTTCCCTTGAATAACTTCAATTTCAGCCCTAGATTTCAACATATTTTTCATATTAGTTTTTGATCTTGGATTTATGCAATTTGACCCTCAATTGATTATTAAACTTTTAATTGTCTTTAATTGCACTCTTGATTTCAATCGAGATCCTATAGTTCGGTGTCTTTTGCAAAATGATATTTGGTTATGAATTTATTCAATTTAGCATTTAATTGACTCCAAAACTTTGATTTTCTTGTAAGTTTACCCTTGATTTCAATCAATTAACTTAATAAAAATTAAATATGATCTCCTAAAATTTTAATTTTCTTAATTAACCCAAATTAGGCTCCTAAATTTAATGTTTCACCAATTAAGCTCATAATAAAATTAATTTGACTTATTTAAAGTATAATTACATTCTTGTGCCTAATTAAATCTTTCAATTTGACCTAAATTAATTCTTAAATATAATAAAAATTTATTTTTTTCTGTGATTAAATAAAATTGGCGGACCTAAATTAATTCTTAAATATAATAAAACTTTAATTTTTCCTGTGTTTATTTTTTTCTGTGATTAAATAAAATTGGCGTATTAAAAATCTAATTATATCATCGTACTTAATTTTTATATAAATTCATCCAATAATGATTTGATTTGATCTTAAATCTACATTATCTCTCTAGTTTTTAGGAAAAATATGATATAATGAAGCTCTCAATTCCATCTAAAATTGCAACATGATTTTTTCTACATGTCAAATCTTCCCAACTTGTTTTTGCCAAAATATTAGCCCTCTTTTTATCATTATTTTATTTTGTGATTTTTGATTTTGGAAAGAAAGAAGATAAATTTTGGGAATAACTAAAAAATGAGTTATGACACAAAAAATATTTTCCCCCATGTAGCCTAAATATTTAGATTAGTAAAATTAAACAAGAATCTATGAAACTCAATTAATATCTTAACATCCTAATATGTTTTACAACTAAACCATCGAGACAATTAAAACATCAAAATATACTCTTATTTAACCTAAACCTATAAACTCCCACAAATCAATTTCACAACCTCATATTACCAACAACAACATCACTAATTTCACAACTAATACATCAAAACCCCCTCTCAAATTGCTAAAATCAATTTAAAAATAAAACTACTATATGAACCTTAAATAACAAAATATGCATGAAATTTAAAAAAAAAAACAGCTTATAGATAATAGTTCAATTTGTTTTTGGTTTTAAAGGTTAGTTACTGTTTAATAACTACTGAGATACGCATAAAACACAAGAAGACATTCCCTTACATTGAAACAAAATTCATCTAAAGTTCCAAACATATCCAAAATTTATCAAACACAAGTTCCAATCAAATAACTCAAATCATAACAGTTATCAATTCATTAAAATAATTTACCACAAAGTTGTAAAAAATCCAAAAGATTGATTTACTAGCCTCAATTTATTCCCTTCACGTAAAATACTTCTCGATCATTCAATAATTTTATTATAACTAGCATCACACAACTCATGATTTGACTTAATAATGAATACTTATGCAATGACCAATAATTTAGTGTGATTTATACCCCCATCCTATAATGAATCATCAAAATATTTCAAAACTTTAAAAACCCTAGCTATGTCTGTATTTGGTTCTTCATCTATAGTTGAACATTCACTTACATAACCCTAATTCATTCTTATTGCATCCATCACCATACTCTTATAAAAATTATTATTATAATCTATAACTCTATGCACGTTTTTAGAACTAGAAGTTGATTCAATTATCATATCTACCATATTCTCATACGGAACATATGGTTCTATATATACAAATCAACATTAATATTTTTTTACGAATGTTTTTTTAGTAGAAGATGCATTGTAATATCTGGATAAAGAAATTTTTTATTTTTAAACCTCTTATAAGGACATATAATACCTCCTACACTAATAAACCTTCTACCCCATTACAATAATTCATCATACAGAACTCATTGGGTGAAACTCAACATATTCAAGAATAATCATCCATTACTTATATGAAATCTATATAGAATTGATGATGATATATATTAATTATAATGTGAATTAAACAAATTATCAGTACCCAGTTAATTAACTATCATTGGTCGAATTCAAAATTATTCAAAATAATACCTTTTAATCATTATCAATTTTCTCTAAAAAATTCAAATTCTTTCAAATTTATCTAAATTCTCAACTTACCAATAAACTTGACACAATGTAAAAGGTACACATTATTTATCGATGATATTTTTTTTATCGATATTTTCATTTGTGTTTGATAATTTTCTAGTAGTGTAAGGCTTAACAAGTCATAACTAGATTAGTTTGCACTTTACCATAGAATCATCATTTAAATAATCACCATGAAAATCATTACCAGCAATGTTGACCTATCCATTATCATCTATATTTAAAAGATTTTATTTCAATTATTTTTTCAAAATCAAAACTTTTGCTTTAATTTTCATCTCATTTTAATTTGTGAACTAACCATGCTTTTTATTATTGTACTTCACCTTATACTATCCAGTCTCACTCAACCCATCAAAAATAAAGAAACCAGTTATGAAACTTATTGCATCTCACAACAAAAAAGTTAGGAAAAAATAACTGAAACATAGATAAAAATATATTTCATTGATATTTTTCAACTACTCAGTCTCACTCAACCTATCAAATATAGAGAAACTAGTTATGAAGCTTATTCCATCTCATAACTAGAAAGTTAGGAAAAAGCAATTGAATTGATAAAAATAAATTTTATCAATAATTTTGCAACAAAAATGATGACAACATTTCCTTTATAAATTTCTGACAAAATAGGTGTTAAAATAGAAAAATAAAAAATCATTAAAATTTTTGTCAGCGACACCAATACAAATTTCATCAATGATTTTAAATGGATTAAAACATGAAAGTTCCTTTTATCCCAACCATTTTTCTTTTTCTTCTCTTTCAAAACATTAGCCCCTTTCCCCAAAGTAATTAGTAAATTTGACCATCTTTTTCATAAATTTGTAAGTGTGAGAAATCTAAATGTTGAATATAATTGATTGTTTGGAATAAATATTTAAATTAATGGAGTTGAAATTTGATTAACTATAGTGTAAATATGAGAAAATATAGGTCACATTGTTATGTTTTTGTTGGTATAAATGTAAGGAATTGGGTGTTAAGTATTGCATTGAAATGTGAAAATGTGAAACCTCTATGTTAAAACCCTAAATTGATAATGTGTATATTAATTATTGGTTTGTGATATGTTAGGAATTAAATTGAAATGAAATGATTTAATGTGATGGCATGGATATTAATTTATGGATTGTATTATTAATTGATGTTTATAATGTGTTTAGATATTAACTGGGATTTTGAATATATAAAGATTCTATGGTTACACCTTAATTGGTGGTGTGAATATTGATTAATAGTTGTTATGTGTGTATAAATGCAGAATTGATTACCTTTGGGGTGATTTTGTTTGTGAAAGAAACATGAAAAGGTTGGAAAACTTGATTTAAACTTGTTGGTTTAATGTGATTAGTAGTTTGTAATGGAGGGAAAATATTATGCCTAAAGTAAATTGGTTGCATAGAATTGAAAAATTAGGGGAAATTAGAAGTGTGATTGAATAGTATTGTTTTTGACGCTATAGAAAATGATTATGATTGATTGTAATGTTGTGAAGTAGATTTCTACAATATTAGTTAATGTTGCCATATATGTGGAATAATATAAATGAGGAAGATCGGGCAATGTATATTGAAATTCATATTTGAATGATATTGTGGATTAATTTGATATGGCAGATGAGAGAAATTAATTTATTTTTGATGTTAATAATAGCAAATACTGTTAAACTTTAGCAGAAATTCATAAATTGTATCTCAATTGGTATTCGTGTTTTCCAAAGACCCATTGAGTTGAATCTCGATTTTGGAGGAAGAAAAAGAAATTGTTGATTATTTCTTAGGGTTTCTTTTTTTTCCTGTTTTAAACTTAACCAGAGATCGTTATAATCTAACAAGTTGAATTGAGTCCAACTATATATATATCCCACAAACAATAATCAATTACAATTAACAATAAATATAAAGGAAAGCCATTTTTGCGAACCGGTTTCAGTCCATGTTCATAGTAGTCATTCAAAAAGAGATATGGAAGGAACTAAAAACAAAACACTATTTTCCATAGCCCCAAAAATCCATCATCTCCCCACGTAACGGGAGCTGATTGATTGCGTGCGCAGATGGTGCGTTACTTGCATCATCAAACCTCACCCCTTTTGCAGAATCTTCATTTCCTAAATGAGAAGTGACAATCCTATCGAGCATAGCCCATTCATTCAAGCCCTGATGATCTTCTCTTCCTGCAACCATTTGCTGAGGTGCTTCACAGGTGCACACCTCTAGTCCTGGCTCACAAGCGTGGTACCTCAGACTTTCACTGCCACTCTCACAATCCCTAGAGCTTGACATTAGCTGCTTAACCATGACCGGTGATTCCTTAGGGAGACCCGAGTAGTCATAACCTAAGGACTTATTAGTTGGCATTAGGGTTTGGGATTGGAAGAGAGAGTATTGATGAGGTGCTGCCATGTGAGGATAGTGAAGCTCTAGCTCAGCCTTGCTTAGTACAAAGGGTTGTTGAATATTTCCATGGCTATGGTTTTGACGGAGGGAGTATTGGCTGTCTCTGTGCATGAAAGTTCGAGATTGATTGCTGCTTGACGAGTGGAGTTGTTGGTCAGATGAGTTCATGCTTGTAGTTCCTCCTTCACCACTGACCTTGAATAGATTCTTCTTTTTGAACACCCTGCATACCACCCAGCCATCTTCCTGCACATGCATACAGAACAAATATCTTAACAAGAAGCCAATGCCTTGATCAATATGTCATGAAGTTGATTCACTGAGTTGTAATGCTGGGGTGATAGAGAGAGTACTTACACCCAGGTTTCCTTGAGCATCGTCGCCATCTTCAAGCCTATACTCATGCATGATCCAGTCAGTCTTCTGGCCATGAGGAGCTCTTCCTCCGTAGAAAACAAGTGTTTTCCTCATTCCAATCTTCTTGTAGCTGTTCCTGATGCACTTATCCCTCCCTGTTGCCTTCCAAAACCCTGCATTCGTTGCTCTATTGGTTCGTGACCCCGTCGGGTATTTCCTGTCCTTGTGACAGAATAAATACCACTCGTTTTGAGGCGCTGACCCAATTTTACATCTCTCTGCACACATATCCATGCATGACTATATACAGTAAAATCATCAAATTCATCGTAGATAGTATAAATCTTTAATTTATACGCACATGTGCTTGATGTAAAATACAATTTTAGAAACTATATATATGTTTAGGAACAGATAACCAAATCTACAAGGCATAGCGCATTACATATATATTATTGCATTGAGAGTCTAAAATGTTCTAACCTCCGGTTACACAAAAATACAATTGAGGATGGATGATGAAAAGCTAATTAAACATGAGAAACTAATTTATATTTTTTGAAAAATATCTACATAAAAAATAGAAAATAATAACACTCTATGTTGAAATACTCTTCTTCTTCTTCTTCTTCTTCTTTTGCCTTGGACTTTTTTATAGAAAACACTTGTTTCCCTTTTTTAGGTGACAAAACATGCATCCTCTATTATTTATAAAAATCTCTACTCTATCCTACATGTAATTTATATGAGTACAAGAGCTCCATTACTTTTTTCTCTAGGATTTAATCTCTCTCTCTCTATACATTTCCACCTGTTTTTTTAATGTTATTGATGAAAAAATAATTACAAGGTTATGAACAAGACAATCACTTGCTCATCCCATGTGATATATTACATGAAAATATATTAAAACCGATTAGGGTAAATAAAATTTTTCATCCAAGTTATACATACATTTACATATACATATACATATACATATACATACATATATATATATATATATATATAAGAAAAAGTTTAGAAAATTATTTAGACAAAAAATGTTTTTGAACCTACTTTTCAATTTCCAAAGTGAGAAAATAGTCTTACACATTCACTAAATAAACACATTTTTTATACAAAAGGAAAGGAAGTAGAGAAACGAAGATACAAAATGAAAAACTATTCTCTACAACTAAACGGGCTCTAATGTTTACTTATTTCTACAACTTTTCAGATGAAAATAAAAGTAATGTTTTAATTGGTTGATGTAGTGGATCTCATTGTTTGTAACCTGTTGGTATGAACTAATAATTCCAGGTTTTTACTCATGTAATTCCCATTTATGTACAAAACTTGAAGCAAAATAATAATATACATAAAAAAAAAGATGAAATTTTACTCCCTGGTGGGATGAATAAAACCTTCATAATGAAAATGGTAATTTTCAAATTATTTTAAGATTAAAGCATTATGAATGAAAACAAAAATCAGCATAAAGAGGGTGGAATTGTTTCAACCAAAGCATATCATCTTGAAGAGAGCTTCAATTAAAATCCTTGTATAGTCTGAGAAATCCATAAACTCAAGTATATGCACACCACACAATAAACTTAGATTATGGTTCAAATAATATTTACCTTGCAACTCCCAAGGCTCCATCTTGTTCAAGTCCACCTCTCTAATGACCTCCATATCAAACTTCTGAAACGAAACCTTCTTTTTCAAGTAGTAATGGAGCAGTTCTTCATCAGTCGGGTGGAACCGGAATCCTGGAGGCACACCACCAGAAGACGTAGCCATCACCAAGCAACTAGCACAACAGTTTGGATGATGAGCTGAAAAAAATACCAATCGTTACTTTTAACTAGCAGTTTTATAGATGACACTAACTCCTTAAATGTTAGGGTGTATAAATGTGTAAATAGCATTCATTTTCTTCGGCCTTGGGGCTTAAATACGACGATGATTGTCAACGGGGAACTACTTGTATGGTGATGTGAGAAAAGTTGACGGCCAATTACTACGCCGGCGGGCCTGGCTAAAGATATCGTGAAAGGCAAGCATGAGGACTTAGACCATAGCTTATATCTAACCAAGTTTTTTTTTTTTTTTGCTGTGGTTTTACTCTAGGATGGTTTCATATCTCCACATGCTTTTGTGGAGCGTGGTCACACCTTTCCTTAATTTTATATGCAGGTTTACTACGTACATGCATTGCCAAATTAATTAGGCCATAGGGTTTCTTTTCTGTGAAAAATACAAAGTTAATAATACAGATGAAATCCTAAGATAGGATTCGGTACCCATATTTTCACTTATAAATTGGAAGGCTTCGGAGTGATAAGGTCATACAACGGTCATACGTTGTATTTTCCTGAAGAACTGAGGCACTGACAAGAACCAATTGTTTTGTCTGAAATTGATACGCTACGCAAAAGAAATAATACAGGGCCTAAAAAACTTTCTTAACATATCTTAGCAAAAAGGGCCACTTAATATTAAAATCCCTAGATCTCTCTCTTGGTAAATCCGCTTAATTGATTCTGCGCTCATCTTCCATGGTTGGATCAAAGGTATGCGGGTAGAAAACCACGGGAACCTGTGTTGCCAAGTATAGATTGTTTTTCTTCCTTTTCATCAAGCACGGTTTCTTCTCTCTTTCCTTCACGCATAATATACTTCAAAATATACTACATTTACATAACTGAATGAATGAACTATATATATTTGCACTATAAAATTGATACATAACTGAATGAATGAACTATATATATATATATTTGCACTATAAAATTGGTAAATATATATGTAAATATCGATGAAATATTATTTTATTATATCTCATTTTATGTCAATGTATATCAAAAAAATTATAGTAAATAAAAAAATAACATGTCATTTTTACAGGGTGATGAAATAAACTCGTCGATAATATTTAAGTCATGACATGGTAAGTGACCCCTTCTTTCCTTTTCCCACATTTTTTCTTCTTCCTCTATTTTTCCTGCTATTGCAGCAATATCAACCCCTCTATTTTATCAGAAATTAAATTTTCATCACCACAAATCTGGTTACCCAAACACTCAGTTTGGTTTCTAAAGTTCCCTCTAAAAGGAAGTTGAAAAGGAGTACTTGGATTGGTTTTTCTAATGTATTTTGGATAGAATTTATGCAGAAATTTGAACTCTTTTTTATCCAATTTTCCTTCTTATTATCTTCAATTTAAACTTTATTTCTTTTTATTTTTCTCATAATCTAGAGTTTAGATTCGATATTTATAGAGAGATATTGAGTACATATTTATTTGAGTTCAATGAACCTTGTTTATGAGTTTACATAAATAAGATAAATAAAATGTTGTTGTTGAAATCTTAAAAGACTTATTAAAGTTAGTCTTTTTACTCCAAGTGTGGGGAAATAAAATCATAAAAACAAATAATGGATCCTTAATAATAACAATAAATATCATATTGGTTATATGTTGAATACTTCAACAACTATCTTGAATTGGTTTTGTTTAAGTATATTTTCAATATATGTTTAGCATTAAATTTTGTTGAGCCCATGGTTTTGACCAATTCAATCAATGAATGATAAAATTTGATGAGTTTGTTTCTAGAAGAGTTTTCTTTAAACCTAAATAATTAAAAGATATCTAATTTAAAGTCAAGATATTCAATTTAATTCATGTTCTATTAAGGCTAATCAAAACTAATAAAAGGGGAGATTTTACCGGTTTTTGTTCTAAGAATCTCTATAAAAAAGGGTTGAAAAAGAGTATTTCAAGTTGGTTTTTCTGCACTATTTTGGATAGAATTTCTATAAAAACTTAGACTCTTCTTCTAACCAATTTTCTAGCTTATTTTTTTAAATGTTAAGCTCTATTTTTCATTTTTTAATTTTTTACAATAATCTTTAGCTTATATTCAATCTGTATAGCGGGATATTGAGTATAAATTTCTTTGAGTTTGTTGGACCTTGTTTATAATACATAAACAAAGTGGTGGTATTGGAATCTTGTGAAGCTTATTGAATTTTTTTTTCACTAAGTGAGGAGCAATAAAATTTTAAGGACAAAAACCTTTAAACACAACAACAAAATTCAGATTGGTTATATGCTTGATTAAGTATCTTTTATTGATTTTTTTTAAATATATTTTTAATATATGCTTAGGAAGTATATGAGCGTCAAAGAACCAACTCAACTCAATAATTTAAATTATTAGGTGAAGTTTTAAGATATGATTTATATTATTTTTTATATTATTTTTTTAACATATTTCTTTAAGTAAAAGCACTTTAAACTTGAAATTTGCATTGATTTACATTATCTTATACTTAATTTTGATCAAATAAATAGGGATTATAAGATTCGAACTCGTAATTGCTTGGTTATCAAGGCTCTGATACCATGTCAAAGAATCAACTCAACTCAATAGCTTAAATTATTAGGTGATGTACTAAGATATGATTTATATTATTCTTTAATAATGAGGAGGTAATTTAACTCTCTTATATATAATTTCATGCATAATTAGTATGCAATTGAGATTGTATTTCAATTTTTATATATGTTTTTTGTTTATATATATAGCTTAGTAAACATGCTAAATTTTTGTTATAATTATAAATATATCATGATGTTATATATTGAATGATTATAAACTAAACACATATACTCTTGTCTAATTTGTCTCCCGGTAATTTTGAACAAGATATATAACATTATAACACACTGTCAAGAGAAAGTTAAAAAATTAAAACTTGCATAGGTCACCATGATTATTTATTAATACTCTTATATCATATTAAATACTGAAATTATCGTGATGATTTTGTAATAACAAATTAATTAAAATTTAAATGTGTCCATTCAAATACACAATACTTCTCAGGAATGAACAAGCACATAGACAGCTATTGTTTAGCATTACATTCCACGCGCTAAGCATATAGGTGGCACTTGGCTTCCTGCATGCTACCTGTTTTTCACTTGCTTCCTGCATGCTACCTGGTTTTCTAGTTGAATGGAATTAATTAAAGCAAAAATGATCCCGAGAAAATAATAAAATGATATAATTATGGGATATTTGATTGTTATCAAAGCAAAGGATTGGGGAAACAGCTACTAAACCTTCTTGGAATTCTCGCGTTTTGATTGGACGGCCAAGAATTTTGAGTGATAACTAGTTTTATATACTACATTATTAGCATTCTTATGCGAACTTTGAGTTTGTATAGTCCAGATTAACAACAACAGTTGGAGACGCAGTCGCCATAGCTTCGGCTTGCACATGCGGGTACGACTTTAAGGGCTCCAGATTAATTTACTTGATTGAATTGCACGCTTTCCTTCTGTTTTTTGGGATTTATTGTCCTTGATCTGGGGACTGCAACACCGTGGCAAGAAGTTCAAAAAATTTTAAACACTAAGGCTTGAGCGGATCATATGTATATATGTATCTGTCTTATTTTGCTGGAAATTTAAAAGGTTTGGACCAATCAAAAGTAGTTCTGCGCATTCCCACGAAATATATATATATATATATATATATCGCATTCTGGAATGTCAGCTCTGAAAGAACCGATCATGTTCAGGTCCAGTATCAATAGTCTCTACATATAGCTCTTCATGCATAGCATGGCATGTCAAACAATTCCTTGTTGCCTTAGCTAATTAATTTGATATATTCACACAGATTATTCTGAAAACTGTAATTGAAGAAGTTAACTTTGCTGCAAAGTCCAAATAACTTTGCTGCAAAGTCCAAATCAGCTAGCTTGGGCAGAAAAGATGTGCTCACACATTAATTAATATTGTTGGGACACTTGTGATCTTGACAGAGACTACAGGTAATGTATTGTTTACACAGAAGAAAGCCTAGAAAACTGAAGCCATTGTTAATTCACGGGTCAACCCCCACGTCCCCTTTTTCTTGGAACTCCTCCATTTCAAATTAGCAAGAACTAGGTAGCTAATAGTAATTTAATGCATGCAATTAAAGAGTATAGTGATCTAAGTTTTGCTAGTATTTTCCTGGTTGAGTTTTAACTGACTTACAAAGCAATCTAGCTAGTTTCATCTAATCATGTATGGTACAATCCCAGACTTTAACAAGCTATAATAAAGAACATCTGATATCTTGCGTTGAGCAGTCGATATTACATGAGAAGCAAGGCATCGTGCGACATTGTTATTTGGGACTACTTCCAGTATTTCTAGGACGGTAAAATCATTCAGAAAGGTTGCGGTAGCTTATGTTTGATAACTGCAGGATCAAGAAGATTGTCGTTAACTTCCACAAGAAAGAATACAATTAAGCTATGTACTGCAAGAGTAAAACAGCTGCAAAACTGTCTGCTTTGGGAATCGGTACATGAGACCACACTGGAGTTGGAAGCACTTCCATCTGGGTTCGTACATGTAGCTTTATCTTAACGAAGAACGTTGTAAAACTTCTTTGCCTGTCCGGATCAACTTATATATACTTCAATTAATTCCATAAATTCCAAAATTCAATAACTTTAAAGTTCATGAATCTCAAACTAGTCATCTCTGAAACAATAAACTCACTAATCAATTAATCTACATACCTTATCATCTTATCAGTGTCAGAAAGTGGTCAAACTTTGGAATACCTTATCCGTGTCACAGGGGATAAATATAGTGATCAAAACAGGCATGGAAGGTGCTAATGGCTCTACGTGGAGTTGTGTCAACCCAAATCAAATTAAAAAAAAAAAGAAGAAGAAAAAGAAAAGTATAGCCCTAGCTAGGCCCAAAAGCAAATAAAGGAAACATTCAGCACACAAAAGAACAAATAAATATTCAAAACTCAAATAAATAATATGCACACACAAGTATTCAAGTAGCATTTATAAATTAGTGTTAAAAAATATTTATA